CTCCCCTGCAGACCCCTCCTCTTTCATTATCCCCCACCCCACCCCACCCAGGCTTCCCCTGCAGCCCCCCCACCCACCCCCAGCCTCTCCCCAACTCACCTTCTCCCCTGGGGGCGGGAGAGGAGGGGGGGGCTTATATTGCCTGGAACCCAATTAGGCTTCTCTGGGGGGGCTGGAGGGGGGCAGTTTAGGCAGGACAGGAAACCCATTCAACGTGCTTCCGGGGGGCGGGGCGTCGCTCGTGCCCCGGGAGAGGCGGTGGGGGGGAGATGTGCGCATGCGCCCTTGGGAAGGAGGACCACCCCTCCGCCCACAAGCCGCGCAGGCGCACTGCCCTGGGGGGAAGGCGGAAGAATGAAAGGAGGGAGAGGGCCCGCCCTTCAGTCATCGGAAGCAGTGCGCATGCTCGACTCTCTCTCTTGTTTTGCTTCATTTATTTATTTAAATACCGGCTGGAGGATTCTGGGAGTTGAAGTCCACAAGTCTTAAAGTTGCCAAGTTGGTCCAAGAGGGAGTTTTAATGGCTACCTTTGTTATGCAGATCGAATAAGCTAACGAATAAAATTCCAGTTATCGACGAAAAAGGGGTATTCACAGGGAAAGGAGGCAGCTGATGGCGCTTCTCCAAATGAAACAGAAATGCTAGAGAGAGAGAGGAAAAAAAATAGTTTTATTATTTTGCTTTTTTGCATTTTGCAAGCAGGGGTGGGAATGGTCTCCCTCCTCCGCTAAACTTGGACACAGACAGAGAAAAGGAGTTGTGCCTTTCTTCCCCCCCACCCAAAAAAGAAACAATCCCCTGCTAATCACCTGCCCTCTTTTGCTCAACCTCTACAGCCTCCAGCCCCCCAAAAAATTTGACTAGGAAGGTTAAAGCCCCTTGAGGTCCCGTGTGGCTGCGAGCAAAGGAAGGAAGACTATGAAATGATGGGGCCCTTGGAGAAAATTACCGAGAGCCTTCGGACTAGCAAGAGAAGCCAGCTTCAGTCATCCTGGATGAAATCATGGCACAGAAGACGCATCAGCAAGCAAAAACCCATGTACTTTGGGCGCAGGTATGCGTGTGTTGCAAGCAGGGGATGGAGCGCAAATATCTGCCTCCGCCGAGGAAGTCGAAGGCAGCAGAGAAAGCAGAATTCTTGGTCCGCTGGGGGTTATCGCAGACCACCGAAGTCTTTCAGGTGACCAACTCTCCCCGTTGGAAAAGGAGGTTGTGCGGGAACAACAGTCTCCAAATCTATCAGTTTGGCCCTGCGTTTCCTGCAGGCCACACGGAGCAACCGAATAACGAGAGTTGGAAGGTGTTGCAGAAAATGACAGGCGTTAGACTTCTCAGGATAACAGGAAAAGTTTATTTGGCAGCCAGGTTCAGAAAGCGAGCCCATTGCAAGTTCTGAACAACCTTCATTATCGAAGCACACATTTTTATACATTCTCAAAAGCATTGCAATANATTGCAATTAGTTTCAAAACATGACTTTAAACAATCCAAGTTAAGTTTCAAAGCCTGATTTATCCCAGTTAGACAATAACTGATGGATAAAAAGCCAAGGCAAAAGTGGGCTGATCCCACCGCCGTCCAACCTGAGTCAACACTCATGACGTCGTCATCATCCTCGTCGGGAATTTCGATCACTTCCATGGGTTTGCTGAAACCGTTCTCCAAATCCGAGTCCGTCTCTCGGTATTCCAGCCCCAGGTTGACGTAGACGTCTTTGACCAAAACTTCGCATTCATCCACCGCCCTGGGAGGCAAACGGAAGTCAATTCGATTAAGATAGAACCAGAAAATCAGAGCTTGTGTCGGCTTTCCGGAAAATGGGATTAAATACAGGTGGTTTCTGGCTTATAAGAGTTTGTTTAGCGACCATTTGAGGTCGTAAAAGGGGGCAAAACTCACTTCACATCACGTTACCCAGTCTGGGAACGAAGCTTTCAGAAAATAAATTGAAAGAAGCTTGGGGAGAGTCAGCCGCTGCCAAAATTTAAAACCCGGGCTTCAGATATTTTCTATTATTACGCTTAACATCCGTCTCGCTTAGCAGCAGGAACTCTGGCCTCGACTTTGGTCACAAGTCAAGGACTGCCTGCGTTTTGGACAGGGGTTTCAAAATGTTTCATGCATCCCGTGTTATTTTTTCACCCTTCCAGCCGTCGGGGACCAGCCCTGTTGCTAAACTGTCCTGAGCTGTGGATGAGGCTTAGGCAACTAAGATAAGGAAATATTTCCCCTCCCTGACAGGTAAATCCTTGGTTTATGACTTAGCAAACCTCTGGAAGGTATGAGAGGCCTACCTTGGGGGCTACTCATGACCCAGTTTCGACACTTCAATGGTTGGGTTGAAGTTTCAACCTAATGTATGATCGTCACAACTTAGGGCCCCGAGGAGCAGGCTCCGTTATGGCTGTATCTTGAGGACCGCCTGCGTACTTTTATACTTTTGAATTGCTAGCTTATTTTTTTAGGAATGCAAAGCTTCGCCGAGAGGCCGTTTTGCTTACTTGACGGCGTTTTCAAGCAGCTGGTCGACGTGAGCCACTTCCGCCTCCTTCTGCTTCACGGACTCCTCCAGGCGCCCCAGCTCCTCCTTCCGCTGCTTGATGTACTCCGATTTCTCCATCTCCTCCTCGATCAGCTGCTTGAGGTCCTCCAGGGAGATGCCCATCTCCTCCATCACCTCCCGCTGGAGCTCTAGGATGTCCTCCGACTCCGCCATGGCGGCAGAACCTGAAACCGTCCGGAGGGGGGGAAAAAAAAAAGCAAATAAGACGTGGTAGCTGGCAAACATTGGGGAGGGGGTCTCTGTTGGGAAGAGACACCCGCACCCCTCCAAGAGGGACCCTCCAGTTTGGGTGTGGGGGGGTCTCTGTTGGGAAGAGACACCCCCCCAAAAGGGACCCTCCAGTTGGGGGGGGGCTTCGGCTCTTAAATATGTCCGACTCTCCCTTGGGCTTTGCACACACACACCCCAAAAGCCACAGCCCGCCTTTAGCTAAGATTAAGACGAACCAGGGTTAGTTCGATGCCAGGTCTGTCCATGGGATGGCTGTGTCCATGCAGGCTGAGCCCCATGGGCATTGTAGTCCAAGACCAGAGGAACAGGGCCAGGTGGGGCACACCTGAGTTTGCTCACTCCTCCTTGCTCCCCATTTTGCTGCCTCCCCTCCCCTGCAGACCCCTCCTCTTTCATTATCCCCCACCCCACCCCACCCAGGCTTCCCCTGCAGCCCCCCCACCCACCCCCAGCCTCTCCCCAACTCACCTTCTCCCCTGGGGGCGGGAGAGGAGGGGGGGTCTTATATTGCCT